GCGGCTGAAGCGCCTGCGCGGGCTATCTGCTGTGGTGGGGGTGGGGCTTGAGCCTCCAAAACGCCGTGTTGGGCTCTCTCGCAGGCCCCAGGCTGCTGACCCTGCTCTAAGCAGGGAGGGATGTGAGTAGTTTTAAAACGCCGGCGCGGGTGCACGTAAATGCCCCGGCGGGCGCCATGGCACCCACAGGCACTGCGTTGGAGACCACTGGTCTAGATGGTGCTTGGTCCTGCCGTGAGGGCGGGGGACTGGACTTGACCAGTCAAGGTCCCTTCCAGTTCTAGGGTTCTGTGATTCTGAGACCTGGGGCTGATGCGAGCACTTTGCAAATCGTAACTGAGCAGTTCTCCCGGTGACTTAGGTAGGTCACAGTTATCGCCATCTTACATGAGGCAGTGGGGCCGGAGCAGAAAGTACCCAGCTCAGATCGTGGTTCCCATTAAACTGCCTCTAGGCTGGAACTGAGCCAGAGGGGCCGAGCTGCAGCTCCATAGGGAAAGTCACTGCATGCATGCCTCCCCCCAGCTGAGTGTGTGCCACCCCCCCACCACCAGACTTCGTACTTTGTCCCGGAGGTCCTCTGCTCTCTGCAGCTCCTTGCGCAGGCTGTAGATTGTGTTCACCAGCTCCTGATGCTCTGCCAGCACCCGTCTCCGATCAGCCTCCAGAGTCTGGATGTAGAGGCTGTTCTTGTCCAAGTTCCCTTCTTTGGCGACCTCCAGGGTGAAGGGGAGGGGGGTTAGAGGCAGGGGTGGCCCAGCTGGCTGGGAGAGCTGGGCCCCCCCTCGAGCCTGAACAGCACTAGCGGTCAATTCTCGCTCCCCTTCCACCAGCCTCCCCTTGACCTCTGGGCTCAGGCCAAGGTGAGCTACGTGTTCACCAGCGCAGCACCCGGCTGCCCTCAGCGGGATGGAGGGGAGTGGCCTGGCATGGCAGAGTCCCAGCAGGGGCTGCTCTGAGCAACACAGGGCACCATGGGCCAGGAGCTGTGCCTGCCCCTTCTACCTCGTTAAGGACACGGGTGGCTGCGTTCGGTTCCAGTTGCTGCCACGAGTCATGGTCAGAGCTGCTGAGCCACAGGCCTGGCTGTTCTCTGGTGCCCACTCCTCGCCCTCAGCCAGCCACCACCCTCCTTGCCCTCAGCCCAGGCACCACCGGCAGCCTTCATACGCCACGTGTCACACTGCTGCCACTCAGGGTGCCCGCCGCATGGCTCAGGAATCAAACCAACCACCCTGCGCTCCCCAGGCGAGTGCCCTATCCCCTAAGCCACGCCAGAACCCACCCCCACAGCCCTATCTTCCGTGGGTCCCTTATCCTGCCTTCCCACAAATGTTCTCTCCTCCCAAGCTCCCCGACCTCACACCACACCCCTCGGGGAAGCTGCGTTGGTGAGGCAGGCCCGATACCCCCGCCGGCCCTCCCCACACACCTGGAGCGTGTTCTCCAGCTCTTGGTTCTTGGCCAGCAGCAGCTCCTTCTCCCGCTGGATCTCCCACACCACTCTGTGGCTGGGCCGCTGCTCGATGGCGTGCTTCAGTTTCATGGTGTGCTTCCTCTCCAGTTTGCAGTCATCCTCGGCCTTCATCAGGCTGTGCCTCAGACGGTCGATCTGGGGGTGGAGGTGGGGGGTGCGTTTGGAGCTGGCCAGGCCTCCCCAAGCCTGGCTTGGGGCCCATCCTCCAGCAAGAAACACACGGGAACGCAGAGCAGCCTGGAGTCCTCTCTCCGCTCACCCCACATCGCCCCCATCCACGAGACCCCCTGCCACAGCAGCGCGATGCCCCCCAGCTGTGGCACCGGGGCTGACCGACTGGCGAGTGGCATCGCCGTGTGTTACCCCAGGCCTGCGGCGCCCCACGGCAAAAATCCCCCTTTACGCACTCAGCCAGCCCAGGGCATTCACCCTGCAGCGCGGAGGGGAGGCCCTATAGGACTGCAGCGTGTGGTCGCCACGACTCTCGCGCCCCAAGGCTGCCGGGGATTGGAACAGCAGGGGAGAGACCCACCTCCAGCTGCAGATCCCGGCTCTTCATCAGGGCTGCGTTCTTCTCCTCGCTCTGCCTGGCGTAGCTCATAGCCAGCTCGTAGTTCTCGTCCTTGCATTTCCGCAGCTCCTTGCTCAGGTGGTCCCGCTCCTCCTTCATCTTCTGGGCCCTCTCCTGGTGCTTGCGCAGCACGCTGTCCCTCACCCGCATCTCCTTGAGGGCGTCCTCCTTGGCCTGGAGCTGCAGGTGGAGATCTTGGGCCTTCCTCCTCTCCTCCTGCACGATGCTCTGCAGCTTCGTGATCTCGTTCATCAGGAGCTGGCTCAGGCCAGACTCCCCGGCCGAGTCTGCGCAGCAGAGACACGGATGCCGTGAGCCCCGCCCAGCCAGGCCCCGCGTGAGTCCCCCCCGCCAACATCCCCAATGCTGCAGTCTAGCCAACAGCTCTCACAGGCCGGTGCTACTGCGGGTTCTCTTCCTGCACACCCCAGGGCCAGCCCGATCACACACGGTGCAGGCACGCTGACGGGCACACAGCTGGAGGGAGCAATGATCCGTCTGCGCCAGTGGCAGGCCATGGATCTACCAGGTGTTCCTGAACAGCCTTGACCATGCTAGGACCCACATTCAGCCAGGGGGCAACACCGGGGCTGAGCCATCCACACGGGGGAACGGGGCTGTTCTCTAGCATCTCCTCTTCCTTCTGCTACCGGGAGCAGCACCGGCGCTCCCCAGAAGGGGGTGGAGATGGAGCGCCCAACACAACATTGCTTTTTAAAGCTCCAGCCTTCTACCGGCTCCACGTGGATAGGCTCAGGGCCCTGAGCTTCAACAGGGATCCCTGCAAGGGGGAGCTAACTGCAGGATCGGGGCCCTGGCAAAGGTGCTGCACATGGCGGTTTGGCCGACCCTCTCTGAAGAGCTTTGGCACCAACCACTCCCTTGGGCAAGGCTGCACGAGCCAACAGGGATTCAATTCGAACTCAAGGTCTCCGCTAGCTGCAGGAGCGGCATCAAATAAAGAGGCCGTCGCGGGAAGGAAATCAAAGCGTTACCTATAATCATCGAGAAGACCCTGCTGGGCTCCTTGCCGGTTATTCTCTTATATAAATGCGGGTAGTAAAGCTCCAGGCTCTCGAGAAAGGCCTCGAAACCTTTCAGGCCCGTTCTCTGCAGAATATCCAGGAGGACACCTGCAACGCAGAAACAAAAAGGCACTTCCAGGCAGGGCAAGTGCGCCAATTTCTCTGTACGCAAGAGCAGAACGGAGTCTTCCCCGACAAACCCAGCAAGCCTGACCCCGGCTAATCTCTCACTGGCTTTAAGGGGCAATTTAACTGAGCAGTAGCTGCCGGATTTGCCCCTAGGCCCCTGCTCTGACTACCGTGTTGCAAACAGCAGACGCTGCGAGAGAAGCGATCACGTCCATGCCGAGGGCGGAGGAGGAGGAGAGAAGACAGGTTTGAATGAACAGCCATGGCACTTCCTAAGCGCTGGGTAATTCTGGTCACACATACAGAGGAGGGGATGGTTAGGTGGGCCCCAGTTTTGGCACAGCTGTCCTGTTCTGCAAGGGGCAGAGTCCCTTCCAGGAAATGCTGGAGATGACTCTATTCTCGAGGTCAGCAGGACTGGAGGTAGTTCTGCACCTCGCAGGACTGCAGCCTCCATCTCCCACTACAAAGGGGTCACAGGCAGAGCAAGAGACGTGGGGAGTCTGTCCCCAGCCTTTAAAAGGCAGGTGTAGAAAGTCTAATAGGACCAGTGCCGCGGTCGCAGGCAGGTCTCTGAACGACGCAGTGAGAAATACTCCCTGTGACGCTAGAAATCCGAGCAGCAGCTAAGTACTTTCTGATCTCAGTTCCCTGTGATGGCAGAGAACTGGAAAGCGTAACTTGCTAACCCAAGGAAAGCGACCAGCCTCGTTTTGTGGCCCACACTGCGGGAAGCTAAACGGTCTGGAGACTAAACTCATTGGGCAGGGCTGCATCTGTACAGCACCTAGAACAATGAGACCTTGAGCCCGATTCTGGCCCCTGGAGGCTACATCAATATAAGCAACTAACACTGATGCAGCCTGACAATCCCAAGCCACAGATTCTGTTCCCACCACTGTCAGTGGCCAGATAGGGTGACCCTGGGTAAGTCCTTTTCTGTGCCTCTGTTTTTCCATCTGTAAAATGGGGGTAGCAATGCTGGCCTCCTTTGTAAAGCAACAAGGGCTACTGATAAAAACTAACGAGCTGGGGGTTAATACTATAAAACAGAACAAGTACTGTTGATTTGTAATTATCTCAGGGACTCCTAGAGAGACAGGCTCATTTCTTTCACATGTTGCCAGAACCCCTTTGAACCCGAGACACAGAAAAGCATGAAATAGTTTATCCTAGATTCAGAGCTTTTCAGGCCAGCAGGGACCCCTGTGATCTCTGCTTTCTTCATTTAACAGCTAAAATTTCTGGCCCTGTCTATAAAAGGACTTTGGGAATTCTGTTCTTGCCTCCTCTGATCTCCATGCTGACAGTCTGAGCACACCTTTAACAGACCTGCTCCCGATAACGCCTTTCAAACTGGAGCAGATCTTAAAAGTAAATAACTAAATACAATCCAATCTTGGCGGAACCCCTGCCACAAGCAGCAGTGCTGAAGAATCCACCACATGCTTAGCTCAGGGAGAAGGAGTTAGTTACCTGTTTATTTGGAAATATAGAAAACAAAAGGCTGGGAAAAGATGCACCTTTGAGAATGTAATTGCAGTATGCAGATTAGTGGCAGCACAACATGGCCTGCAGAAGCAACTGACATTAGCATTTTCATCCAGTGCATCCCACGCGAGCGAGGCCAGCCCACCACAGCGGAGGGGCAGACGTACCCACCTACTTTCCGCTTCCGGAGGACCAGGTTGGGGTCATTAAGGACTTGCTCTTCGTCGTCATGGGTAATCACTTTGCACTGGCGGAGATACGGTGTTATTCTGGAGGGGTCTATCACGGAGATCAGCTTCACCCGGAAGTTCTCCAAGTTATTCCAACACATCTCGTCCTCTTCCTGTTCCGACATGGCCGAGAGCAAGAAAACACGGACAGGCCAGGCCTTCGTGTCTGAAAGCCACACCGCAAACTTCAGAGCAGCCCGGATAATGGGTGGCCCAGCACATGAGACTGGGAATGTGCCCATGAACCGAAAGAGACGTCCACCCCAGCAGCCTTTAACGCGGTACCTACCAAGGACGGAAGCGCCCCATTGCGCCAGTAGAAGGGGGTCACAGTGCACCTTCTGCACAGAAACGCCAGCTTGCGCTAGCACTGCTGCTGAAGAGGTGATGAAATTCCAGTGAGTCCCCTACACCCGGCTGACCATCGCCCGAGTCATCACAGGAGAGAAGTGAAACCACTTACAACGCACCCTCTCGCTGTAGCGGAGAGGGCTGGAAGCAGAGCTGAGGCTGCGGACACCAGGAACTCGAATTGCATAAGAATTCCCAACAGGCACCAAAGGCCAACCTCCCCCACTACATCACCATGGGTCTCTCCTGCTCAGTACCTCTCGGGATGGGTCCCAAAGCTAACCAATGACCCACGGGTGCAAGAATGCAGCCGAAACACACGGCCTGCAGGAAACCCGGCATCTAAGAAGGTGTCGTGCAGCCCTTGGGCAGCGGGAAGAGACGGATTCAAACGTTCGGGTGAAAGGTTCCGGGAGAAGAACCCCCAATGGTCTTAAATCGCCGTTAATTGTAACCACCAAGAGTGGAGATTTTTACGTGTCTAGAATCCTAGAACGGGAAGAGACCGAGAGTTCAGTCCCCTGCCCCCACAGCAGGGCTGGGCACCATCTAGATCAGGGGTGGGCAATAATTTTTGATGGGGGGCCACTCCAAGATTTTGGAAAGTGGGTGAGGGCCGCACCCTGCCATGTTATTATTGGTGGAGACGCGGGGTCTGGGACAGAGGTTGGAGTAAGGGGCTGAGGTGCAGGAGGGACACTGGAGTCTGGGAGGGAGTTTGGGTGGAGGAGGTGGTTGTGACCAGGACAGGGGACTGGAGTGCAGGGGTTTGGGATGTGACCTAGGGCAGGGGGGGATTGTGATCTGGGAGGGGGTGTGGGTGTAAGAGGGGGACAGAGGGCTTGGGTACATTGAATTGGGGATAGGGAGCAGAGAGTTGGGGCAGGAAAGGTGCCAGAAACAGGCTGTGGCCAAGAGACCTATTTGCCAGCTGCCAAACTAGCCTGTCTGCCGAGCTTAAAATGTTTCCCAGCCTGCCTGCTTGCCGGGCCATGTGCTTCATGAATAACTGAGCCCAGGAGAGGGGGCGTGGTTCTTCTTGGCTGCCTGTTATTTTAACAAGCAGCTACCCTTGGCTGGTTTCTGCCAGAAACCGGCCAATGGGAATGTGGTGGGGTCCTCCTAAAACTTCCCCTCTCTCCTCCCAGTTTTAAAACAGAAATAGGCCTGCAGCCATGTTTCTGCCCGGTACACAGGGCTGTAGGGCAAGCTGGGGAGCCTGCCTGGGGCTCCCCGCTGCCTCCGAGGGCTAGATCCAGCCCGTAGGCCATATTTTGTCCAGGCCTATCTAGATCATCTCTGACTGATGTCTATCCTACCTGCTCTTCGATTAAAGTTGCCAGGTGTCCGGTATTCACCTGGACAGTTCGGTATTTTTGCCTCCTGTTCAGTAAAAAAAATTCAGAAAATACCGGACACCTAAGATGTCCAGTATTTTTGGATTTCTCTCCCCGGCCAGGAGGCGAAAGTGCTGGGCACCGGGCAACCCTACAAACACTCAGCGCCCGGCCTCTCCCCATTCCCCACCCAACCCCAGCCCTCTCGACCCCAGACCCCACGCGTACCTGGTTCTGCAAGGCTGCCAGCACAAAATGGCTGCCGGCAAAAAGACCAAGGGGAAGCAATGACTCCCCTGGGTCTTAGTGCTCAACCGCTCCCCTGTTCCTATCCCTGCACTCACTCTTAAAGGGGACATGTTTTAATGCTGTTTTATTTTAATTTTTTAAAAATTTTTGCTTAAGTCTTGGAGTCCTTTTTTTTTTGCTCAACAACTTTGGTCTTCCCCTTCCCCCCCACCCAACAGAATTTTTTCCTGGTGGGTTTTCTTTGGGGGGGAGGGGGGGGTGTTCGGTATTTTTGTTTCGACCATCTGGGAACCCTACCAGTGTCGGAGATTCCACATTCTAATTTGCATTTGCAAAGGAGGGCCATGTACAAAGCCCACAATTAAACCTGATCCTGCAACTTTAGCAGAATGTGGCAAATGACGCACTGTGCCGGCCACATGGCACGCGCGACTCGCAAGCTTTGGGAAACCCGAGCAATGCGTGCAGGCTCCAGGCATGGTGCCTCGAAACATCGTGGCTGGAGGCAGTGACCCGACAGCATCACGTCCCGGCAGACTGTCTCCTGCGTGCCGCTTTTGTAGGAACTTCTTGAGATACACCATCAGCCACAGCTGCACTTTGAGGTTTCTTTCCCACAATGCTTCCTCCCCAAAACAATCTCTTTCCCATGCACCCACGAACCAAAACGAAACCAGAGTAGAATTTTCAGCTCAACCAGGCCATATGCTAATTTGAGCAAACCAGGAAGCCATTCAGGGATGGCAGTAGTCAAGATGTAGAAGTCACATTACACAGTTAGATTTGTGTTCTCTGATTAGTGACTCACATTTTGGGCCAGGCTGGGAAACCTCACTCTTCCCCCAGTTAGTGTCAGGTTATGTCACGTTCTTTTCTCAGTGTCGAGGCCTCTATGACCTGCCGAGGCTTTGTCTGCAGGGAGAAACAGCCGTTTTCTCCTATTCTCACTCCTTGTTTGGCCCGCTTGGGGCCAAACGCTGCACCAAAACGAGTGCCTATGTTCCAAACCAAGCATTGGATTGGGGTGCTTGCATGAGAACAGGGAGTGTAGCAGTAGCCGATAGCTGCCCATGACCCCCGGGGCTACCTGCAAATCCAGAAGGGTTTCGCTATTCGCCGGGGGAATAAGCAGAATCATTCCCGACAGCAGCAGCCCTGCAGAGACCGTGATGTCTGCAGCCCCCCCTCTTATAAACGGCCAAACCCTAGAATCCTTGTTCTGTTCTCGGAAAGGCAAGACGCCCACTGATTTCAATACCTAGCTACTACAGTGCCTGACACTAGGGAAAGCCAATGGGTCTGACTTCAGTAGGGTTTGGCCTGCCTGCCTGACCAATCCCTAACCCTTCTGCTCCCCCAGCAAACAGGCAGCTCTGCCCACTAGCAGAACCAGCCCCGGGTCCCAGCCGGGTGAGAAGTAGAAATGCATTGCTGTCACTGCGCCCTTTCCTTCTAGAGGGACAAAAACTGGCCCCCCCATTTCTACAGATACATCGGGCGCAACACGGACTAACCTGGCTCTGCGCAGCAAGAGTTTCTGCCTCTCACTGGCTCAAAGCGACCATGTTCCTTGGGCCCCTTCTCCCAGCACGTCCATGGGCACAGCAGCCTCCTTACACAGTCCGTCTGCAACACAGATGACTCAAAGTAACAACTAGACAGAAGGAAGGGGAAGCCTGTGGGTAAGAGCACTTACTCCAAGACAGAGAAGGCGGGGAGGGGGAAGAAGAGGAAGCCACAAGGGGAAAGCTAGTGCCTGAAGCATCTCACACCCCCGTTGCGCCGTCTGTCTCCCCAGCCGAGAAGCACTTGAGGCTTCTCTAGGCCATGGTTAGAGGGGTCCATGGATGAGGAATATTACAGGAGTGCACAGGCATGGTCTAGAACAGACACTCTTCAGAAAGCAGCTTGCCCAGCCGCCATGTAGGAAGAAACCTCTGCCCACGTAGGTTCTTCTCTCCAGTCCCTACGCTGTACGACTGGTGTCCAGGGACTGCCAGGCTGGAGACGTCAAACAGAACGAATGCCCTTATTTGAAGAGAAATGGAGACACCTGGAGCTAGCAGCCTTGCAGATGAAGGCTTATGAACGCAAACCCTTTTGTACCCAACAGGACAGGGACTAGCAATCTCGACGGGCCACCAAGGCTAGTGAATGGGCCACATGAGTGGCCCTCCTCCGTCTCAATGGTCCGCAAGATTGAAATCAGTGACATGCACTAACCATGAGCCCAAAAATCAGGTGAAAGTGACGGGCGTGGCAGGCTGAGTGTCCAAACAAGAAGTGCTTTAATCATCCATATATTAATAGAACCGTCATTGACTTCCAATGAAACACACTTGACAGTATCTGCTTCAGCTGATTTGTGGTGCTCGGGGAGGGGGAGGAGTAGGTAAGCGCGGGACCCCCAGGGTGCGAGAGGAAAGGGGCAGAGATGGTGCACAGGTTGTACATGGAACCCCGATGGGCTACATGCAGCCCGCCAGGTGCCCATCACTGTTGTAGAGCCATAGCAAGTGTGCCTGGGATTGATGGGATAGGCAACTGTGACACTTGCCCAAACAGGATCACTAGTTTTGGGTGCCCATTGACTTCAATGCGGGACCCCCAGGGTGCGAGAGGAAAGGGGCAGAGATGGTGCACAGGTTGTACATGGAACCCCGATGGGCTACATGCAGCCCGCCAGGTGCCCATCACTGTTGTAGAGCCATAGCAAGTGTGCCTGGGATTGATGGGATAGGCAACTGTGACACTTGCCCAAACAGGATCACTAGTTTTGGGTGCCCATTGACTTCAATGGCAACTGGGGGTAGTCGGCCCTTGGGAAATAAAAAGGAGTCTGGCTCTGTGTGTCTCACGTTGGACACAGCAAGGACTAGAACCCAGGAGTCCTGACTCGTAGGCCCCAGCTTTACCCACAGGATGAGGGAGAGCAGGGCTGGTGGATTTTAAGCACGCACACATGTCATTCTGACTGTCCCCTTGCACAATTCTAGAATTCTAACAGCAATGACCAGGCAACAGCCACCAGGTTTTAGAGTGCCGAGGACTCTCCTAACTCAATGCTGCTCTCATGAATGCACCAGCAGCACCTCTCCTCACTTCTGCTCTACATGCTAAACTCCTGAGCAGCCTCGTGCAAGAGTTTCTGGCTCTTTCTAGAAAACGGTTTTGGGAATTCAGCTCTCGCATCCTCCAGTCGCCGTGGGGAGAATCCAGGCGAGGGCCATGTTTGGAGCACAGCAGGGGAGGGGGTTAGTTACTTATAAAGTCAAACCACTGGAGGCCTCCGATTCAGCTCCCTTTCGATGCCAGCGAACAGGATGGCACCTGTGCACACGACACATTCACCCTCAGCACCGTCGCAGAGACAGTCACTTGCAGAATCCATCCAGTTCTCCCACCTCACCATCTGGCTGAGTACCACCTAGACCAGTAAGTCTCCAACCTTTTGGGGTGCTGGGTGCCCGGGGGCAGGGCTGCGCATGTGCAGTGCACCCGGAGTGCAGTGGCTTGGGCCAGCCCTGATCACTCGGTGGGTGCACATAAATGCCCTGGCAGGTGCCATGGCACCCACAGGCACCGCGTTGGGGACCATTGACCTAGACCAAAGGTGTGGGCAGCCCAGGTCCTTGTATGATAGGGATGCTCTATACTCGTCCCCATTTCCATCTCCTTTACCTTAGTCCTCACTTGCTGTCCACACCCCCCCACAATCCTCCAGACGGGAGGCAGGCAGCCATGCCATTCCAATCCACAGAGCCAGGAGGAGGCAGGATGACTCAACACCATCACCAGACTGAGTCGAGCTGCCAGGGACAGCACCTGATCTCCATCAGCCCCACAGGTTTCGTTCCTCGCGCCGGGGCAGGAGGTTCACGCCTCCTACGAATGGCTCTCTCAAGGGAGCAGGGTTTCCCGGCCAAGCCTGTGCACTTGAGTGAATCCCATGCAGGAGGGCGGCTCGCACCGGTCTCTGGAAGTTTGGAAGACTCGCCTGAAATCCCCTTCTCTGGGAGCAATTCAGGTTTCACATTTTAGCAGCCACCACACACACATGTATAGGGTGAGGTCATGCTCCACCCATCACTAGGGCATGCAGCCGCTGCTGGGCTCCGGGGAAATGAGAGTCACTCCAGTGCCTGCATCCTCCCCTAGCTTCTTTCACCCATGGGACTCAGACTGGGCACGCCTGAATGTGTGCAGCTGCCATACTCCCAGGGGACAGAAATCCTGGTGCAGAACTAGACACACAAGTGAGGTGACATACGGATCCTGGTCTGGCTGAGTCTTGGAACTTCGCCACAGGATCAGCTGCCTCCCACTCCTTGGGCGAGGAAACGGACATCGCTCGCCTTTCTTACTGGCTAAGGACAATAGGAGAGCCGCTCGTTCAAACCAGACCACTCCTCTCTGCACGGCCCCAATGAACACCCCACGAGCATTTTAAATGAGAAAAATAGAACGTTTATATTTAATCAAACAGTTGGAATCATTCAGGTACAAAATAAAGCCACCGATCATTCAGTGTTGTCATCTCAGAGCCCCTCAACCGTCCACCACAGCATTAAAAACTACAGACCGAGCCAAGTATTCTGAACCAGGGACAGACATTTATATAAATAGGCCCCAACCCACATACATGCAAAGAAAAGAAACATTCGTTTTTTAAACACGGGTCTCTGAGAGTCTTCTCCCACCTTTGTCCATGCTGCTGCCAGATTATCAGAGACCAGAACAGACTCAATCTGTGTCAAAGGGGGGGGAAAAAAAATTCCATTTCTAGTCTTCTCCATTAGTGGTTTGAAAAAGAGACCTGGAGTGATACAGACTTGGCTAGGGTTTGGGGGGGTAAAAGTGCACCCATTTTCCTCTCTTCCCCCGGACTGTGTGGTCAGTTTCTTTGAAGGGTCTCTGGTCAGTAGTGCAAGGAACAGCTGCTATTGCCACATCTGAAAGCGAGCTTCATTCAGAGATTCCTGTAAGACAGACACCTCTCATCAGTCAGAGGCCAGAGCGTCTAATGCTAGTGAAGAAAAAAAAGTCAGAAAGAAACAAGAACTCCATGACTCTAGGAAGGATCAAAGGGAAAACGTTTGCACTATTCAGCATCTGTTAACCAAAGGTCTTGGTGTTCTTCACATAGACCTGCACACCTGGGCAGTATGATGTTAGCCCTATTAATACCGGTGGGGAAACAGCCACACAGAGGGGGCTTGCCCTGCCCTGTGGTAGAGACAGAAAGACTCCAACTCCCCTGCCCATCTTCGAAGAGCTAAACAGTGCTTCCTTCGGTCCTGCAGCAGCTTGCGGGCGATCTAACCCATGGCAGAAGCACTGCTTGAGAGAGACCATCGTCTGCCCTCTATTTTAAAAACCACCACTCTGGCTACTGAGAATTTAAAAATAGACAACAAACCCCTAGTCTCTGTGCACCACTGTGGCAGAGCTGGCTAAACAGCAGACAAAGCAGCCCCAGAGACCCCGTGACCAGAACTCAGATAAGGCCTTCAGCAAGGGACAGGCTCCAGCTGGGGTGCAGAGAAGACACCGGGACAACGTGTAGGCTCGGCAGCAGGAACCGACAGGTTTAAGTGCATCCCTCAGAACAGTCCTCTCATCCCGCTCCGTATCTGAACGGCCATCCTCTGCGGCTTAGCAACCAAGAGAGCAAAACTCACTCGGGCGCAGCGTTACCCTCCCAATTCTTACGCTGACTGCAAGGGTTCCGGGCAGTCTGTGTGCCGGCGACTGGGCCGTTAGCACTAACGCCCTGGGTAAATGTATCATGCCTCCTTACGACCATCTGTACTGACCACGGCTCCGTTAGTGCCCTCAGAGCAGCATGTCCACAGGGAGGGTGAGACAGGCCTGGTTTAAGTCCTTGCTATAGGCCTAGAGCAGGACTGGGCAAAATACAGCCTGCAGGCCAGAGCTAGCCCGCCAAGCCGCTGGATCTGGTCAGCGGGTGCAGTGGGAGCGTCGGCCAGGCTCCCTGCCTGACCCGGCCCTGCATGCCGCTCAGGAAAGCCAGACGCAGGGCCCTGGCTGAGGAGCTGAGAGCCCGGGGGGGGGGGGAGGTTTCACGTGCTGCCCCCGCCTCCAGCACGATCTCACAGCTCCCATTGGCTGGTTTCCTTTGGGGCTCACAGCTGCTCAGACACACATGGGGCTGCAGCCAACTGCTGACCTGGCCGGCCTGCCAAAGCACGGGAGGCAGGGGACTTCGCTGTGGAACCTGCTGGGCTGCTGGCCAGGAGTTGCCCAGGTAAGTGTCTCCCAGTCAGGGCCTGCCTCCGGCACCCCCACCTCTCCCTCCAGCCCTCTGCCCACCCAACCACCCCACAATCAAAATCCTCTGCCCTCCCCCTCTGCACCCAAACTCCCTCCCAGACCCACATCACCTCCATTAATATCCTGGAAGAGTGCGGCCCTTGACCACTTCCCAAATTCTTTGAGTGGCTCCCCCCTCAAAAATGATTGCCCACTCCTGGCCTAGTGTCACGATTCCCCAGCTACTTTAAGCTGCGCCCCACCCAATGCCCCTCCTCCACGGAGGAATCCTGGTTTTACAGAGGAAAGTCACTAACGCGTTTCTCCCCGTGCTTCTCTCACGTCCTCCTCTTTTTCCTGAGACGAGCGCTTCTCCGAGTTTGCTGAACTCTGGTCCCCCCGACATCAGGGCAGGAGCCTGGGACCGACTGCACAGCAGACACCTCAGCTCCAGCACCCTGAAACATAAGCAGTGACAGGGCATTACTGCAGGCTGAAGATACGCGGGACCGCAGGAGGACCGAGCACCCATCCTTCCTCCCCACCTCATTCAGGGACCGTGGCCAGGCTAGGGAGGAATGGAACA